TATTGCATTTAATAATTCATTCGATTTTCCCCCATATATAAATACTTTTATATATATGTATATATATATATATATATATCGTTAATTAATATGTTTCGCAGTTTCGTTTTGTTTATAAACCTGAGCGATATACAGCAATTTCGATATCCATTAAAAATTCGTACATGTTCTTTACCCTTATTCCCTAAAATTAAAACGTGAGAAGAGATGTTTCGTATATCGTATAGACTAGATTACAATGGAAAAAGAAAAAAAAAAAGAAGAAGAAGAAAAAGAAGAAGAATAAAAGAAAAAAAAAAAATAAATGACTTGTTGTTGTAACTTGCGAATCGATGCAGATGGAATAATCGAGCCGAATATATTCTCCGTTAACGTAATAACATCGTTGTTGGGTATTCTTGTGTAAAACTAGCTTCGATCGTTTTCTGATCGCACGATAACGATAAGTTTCTGTATTAGCTTTGATCAACCATTATTGCGAATGCGTACGTTGGCATCGTCGTTTAACACATTAGATAACATCGACGATATAATTATTATGAACGAGTAGCAAAAAATATTGCTATTTCCTTGTCTCGATGAAAGTGAAGAAAGTGTGAATCGCTCGAAAATTATTCTTAATACTCGAAAGATTAAATTTCTCTATGTTGAGAGAGAGAGAGAGAGAGAGAGAGAGAGAGAGAGAGAGAGAGAGAGAGAGAGAGAGGTGTTTTAAAAACAATAACCGCGAATCTTGATGACGGAACAAGAATAGCCGTGACAATGATGAATATTTCATTTTCTTTGATTGAAAAACTGGAAACGGAAAATATTTATCTTTGTTGATTTCCTGGTTTTAATTTTATTCCATGAATAAGCTGTTTTAATTGATTAGGGATTTAATATTCTTTTAAATTCTTTAAATTCTGAACATATTTTCACAATTTTCTTATTGCACAAATTACGTAAATTTAAAGGAAGGAATATTAATATTAGGTTAATTATGTCTTTAAGTGATCGATACGTGATATTTTAATTCACAGGTTTAAAAATAAGTGATAAATCAACAAAATTTAATGAAACAATGAAAAAACTTTTTGTTATTTTAAAAAATACTTTTAAAAAGTACGAAAAAATAACTTAAGAATTATAGCAGATACATCAAATGAGATTTTTATGACTTTCAATTTTTTTTCTTCTTTTTATTCAAACAAATGAATTAAAAATATCTTATTTAAATCTGTTTGACTATTTAATTATTAATCAATCGAAATTCTACATTGCACACGGCTATTCTTGCTCTGAAGAAAGAAACGACTCGTTTCTTCAGTTTCAAAAATCAATTTTAAGATGGAAAATCGTAAACGTAGCGAACTTTAATTGATAACTTATGTTAATACCCGAAACATTTGACCGGTGGTCAGTCGATTTCTTCACGGAAGAACGAGGACAAATATCGTTCATCGTCTTTCCTGACCAGAATGGAAATTAACGAAATGACACCCGTTTTGGCAACGAATGGCATTGCTCGTCACTGCTTGCTTTTGGAGTTGTCCCACGATCGTGTGAATTCGTATATACTTACGTATGTTTTATTCATATTACATGAATTAAAAATTAACAAGATACATAGATGAGCCTTTCAAGAGGACTCGAGAAAACAGCCAATTCGATTGCACCGTAATTAAAAAATCATTGACAAATCATTCTGATCTGATATCGATCTAAAAACTAGTTTGATCATAGATAACGACTCCTTTGCATTGTTTATGTTTCCTTTTTCACAACAAATATTACGTAACATAAAAATAAAAAGGGAAAAATTTTTTAAAAAATCTTTTGAATGGAAAGGTGTCGATGTTAGTGTAGAATAATAAGCAAATATGGTGTTCTTGAAGTTTGAATTGCATTAAATTCACGTGAAATTCGTGTGATTGGAGATTAAAATGTTTTGATTTTTTTAAACTTTATCATTCTTTGGGAGATGGACGATTTTAACAAGGAAGACATAATGTATACCATTTTTCAAAAATTTGAAATCACTTTTAAAGTTATTTGTCTTTGGTAAATTAATTAGATTGTTTCCTATAATTGAAAATCTATTAATCTATAAGAGCTTTATCTTTAGAGAATTTAGAAATATACTGTAAAGATGGCAATGAACAGAGAAGATCATTATATTAGCACTTAATATCAGATTAATTCAAATACTGAATCATAAATATAATTCAAAGTTACGTAAAGAATATTTAGAAATAAGAAGAAATAAAATAAAATAGAATTTTTAACTATCTTAATTTCAGAAAAAATTGGATAAAGTTAGTGATGAAACGTAATCAAGAATATCTCTTTAAAAATTATTGTGCAATAAACAGGAATACTTAACAAAATTAAAAATTGCAAAATCCTCGTTAAAATCAAATGCATACATTCACCATTAAATAAGTGATTCCAAATTTTTGAAATTGTAGTAACAACAAAGTCGTCATAACTATCTTATGAAATAAAAGATGCATTTAAATGTAGTGTATGTAAGTAATTAAACATAAGGAGAGACAAACAACAATTGCAAAAAAATAAAAAATGATTATTAAAACTATCCTTTCGGTTGGTTAAACAATCGGTTAGTAAAACCATATACATAATAAAATTGTGCGAATACGATCAATAATAACATATAATTAATTCATATCAATAAACCTATGTTACATGTATAAAAGTAATAATGTGAGATCTATGAATACGACTTTTCCTCGATCACTGTAATCTACAAGAACGCAAAATTTATGATTATCGTTTCTTTCACATTCCCTTTTTCTCTTGCCTTTCGATCTTTTTCCATCCTATCCTTTTGGTTTTGGTTGTTGTTCGACGAAGTTTTAAAAAGAAAAAGAACACGCGTCTGGAGATGATCTAAAGATTCTAATGAGAACGTATTAAAATTATTAGCTTACTTGATATTAAAAGAGATTATTTTATGGAAAGATATACAGAACATAGATAAAAAACTTAAAAGGAATCACTATGAATTATTGATTATCGAATAACAAACGGA